CTCTATTTCTAACCGATTTTTATTATAATTATTTTTATTTTCTTTTCTTTTTCTTTTTTTTTTTATTCTTTTTATCTTAGTTATCTTTTCATGTAGGCTAAAATTATCCTTAAGAGTAGATTTACCGCTGGAAATAGAGATTCGGATAAAGAAGTTTAATGAAGTATGTACAGATGGGCGTTTTTTATTTAATTTTTTTTCAAACCACGCTCTCTTTATTAAAAAAAATGCTTTCGTTTCTCTATATTCTCATCACCGATGTCTTGTAAAATAATATACCATAAGTGTCTATCGGACGTAGGAGACTCGTTTTACGGGCAATGGACTGGATCGAGTGAGCGGGTGCTGTTTATTTTATCATACTCTATATCCTTCTGAATGTACGAGTAAAGAAGTATCCGCCTCTAAACTGCACTTTTGGCCATTAAAAAAAAAAAATTCTACTTTTTCCCTAGAGGTAACAAACACACTGTTGCAGGTATATTTTTCCCCCATGATCGAGTTAGATCCTCCACAGAATTTTTTTCTGATAAATAACGAGTTGAAAATATTCAAGTTTTTACGTTTCGTACCGTGCGATGCACGCACCCTCAAAAATGTATATCTTACTTTCATGAATGACTATACCCGAGCATACCCGACGATTGGTATTCACAACGAAACTCAGTCAAATACGGTTGGTCGATTTCTGTACAATCTTCTTTCCAATGCGTATATCGACACAACCCACACGCAATAATTTGGCCAATAAATCGATTCTCTCGTTACAACAAAATCCATTATCTATAGATAGTGAACACCGATGAGTCTTGACAAAATGAAATTCACTAGGTTTTCCGTATTAAAATGACACACACATCACCAATGACAAACGACAGTATACAAGTAAATCGCTCCAACTAGACATAAGTGATGGTTTGGGAGGGGGAGGGGGGTGGTAGTGTCGTTTTTTAAGTACAAAGCGCATGCATTAGGATCGCAGTGGATATAGCGATTAATTGTATTGTAGTTCTAAGGTAAAGGTAGTATAGATTGTTTGAAAATTGGTCCATTAAAAAACGAATGGAGAAAGGAGATTTGGTAGCAAAAATCGTTCGTAAGGAAGGTATAGGTTGGTTGAAGGGGGTTGGGGGTAAAATTTTTGAGGTGACGCGCACACCCATGCACGCGTGCGTCCGTCTCTCGGTTGTTTTACTCGCGAATCGCACATAGTGTACATATTACATAGTCAACACTTGAATCCATCCAAGACCGACGATGCGTCTGCGTGTGTGTACCGTAGTGCCCCAGGACGCTCACGTCGCCCCTCGCTCCACGGTACGACGACAACAACAACAACAACAACAACAACATTAACAACAACAAGAACAACATGAACAACAACAGCGAGAACATCAGCGGCAGCAATAGCCGAGTGTCCGTGTTATCATCGGCTAATGTTCATTAGAGCCGGGACTTCCACACGACAAAGGCGCCCTCGTCCCGGTCCGCAGCTCGGGGCGAGCCCTCGTCTCATAGGGATACGAACTCGGGGGGCGGCTGTATCAGCGGGGCCGTCGCGGCCAAGTTGCCGATGCTCGAGGGCTGCGAGGGCTCGCTCGAGAGCCGGCCGGTGCTGCCGGTCAACTGGTCCGGCTGCTCGACCAGCGAGAACGTGGAGCTCCCGGTGGCCGTCACCCGTGGCCCCATGTTGTCGTACGGCGAGCCGAGCTCCCTCCTTAGGTTGCGCCTCGGCAGAGTCGCGAAGCTCGACAACCCAATGTCCAGGAGGTCCGGGTAGCACCGCTCGTGCCCCTCGCTGCCGCTGCTGTTGCTGTTGCTGTTGCTATTGGTGGTGGTGGTGTTGTTGTTGTTGTTGTTGTTGTTGTTGTTGTACTGTTCGCGTATGGGCCTGGGGCATGCCGGTAGCTCTTGTCTCTGTATGACTGCCGCAGCTGTTGCTACTGTGGCCGGGGACGCCGCCACCGCTGCCGTGGTCGTGGACTGGGAGGGCGACGGGTGTTCCGGTTGTTGCGAGCCGGCCAGCGACACGGAGATGAAGATGTTGGGCGGGAGGGCGGGCGAGAAGCTCCGGGTGGGGCAGGCCGTGGTTACGGCCACGGGACAGAGGACCGGCTGTTGCTGCTGGGGCGACTGGTGGGGCTCGGGGTGCAACCTCAGCCGTTCGACGGTGACGCTCGCCGAGGCCTGCTGGGCACCGCCGCACATGTGCTCCTGCACCACCGAGCACGGCTCGAGCTCGAGCTCGTAATCTGGCACCTGGAGGCACTGGTGGTGGTGATAATGGTGGTGGTGGAGGTCGTTCAGGTCAGCCTGCTGCTGCATCGGGCTCTGACGATGGTGGTGATTGTGGTTGTGCTGGACCGAGAATAAAAACAAAAACAAAAAAAAAGCCATTGCAACGTTATTGCGGTTCATCACCCGAAGGAGAAGAAAAACGAATGTGATGTAAGAGTGGTACCTGCTGTTGCGGGTGGGGCTGTTGTTGGCTGGTGGTGGTGGCGGTCGTGGTGACCGACAGGTCGAGGAGTTTCTTCTCCTGGTCGCCGAAGCTCGCGCTACCCTGTAGCTTGACCTTGGCCCTGCGGCTGCGTTTTCTGGCGCCACCGCAGACGCACACAGCTAGGAGGACCGTGGTCCCGGATATGCAGAGAGCCGCCACACCGCCCCCCGCCAAGCTGATCCAGAGCAGCCAGTTGTCCGTTTGCGAGAGGGTTGGGGCGCTAAACACCCGGGGGATGAGGACGGCCACGGTGTTGCGCGCCGTCCCGGCCAAGTTGCGCGCGTGGCACGTGTACTCGCCCGCGTCAATGTCGCTCGCGTTGTAGATCGTCAGGTTGCTCCACCGCTCGATCACCCACTTTTTCGTTGCCAGGGAGGTCGAGTAGGTCACCAGGCCACCTGTGGATTTTTTTTTTTTTTTTTTTTTTTTTTTTTTCTCCGTCTCAAGATCGCTATACCTACCATACAGCACTGGAAAGAATTTTTTTTTCCCAAGTCCTTATTTCTATACAATATGTTGTTTAGGTATCTATACAATGACTTATCGAGAGCAAACAATTTTGTGCTCATCATAATACAACGGCGCGTCGTATCAATAATGAATTTTCAATTTCGAGCCGCTCGAGCAAACACCGATGCTAAGGATTACTTGTATTCAAGGGCGCTCGCTTAAATGGTCGATAATCGTATACATGAGCAATCGCTTCAATTAATTGACCAACGAATAATAACTTGTTTCGCGTTGGAACGAAAAATTGCAAAATTTTACCAGATCCGATGAAATTTTATTGAAATAACCCGTGCACGACCGATTAATTGCCCAAGAAATAATAATTGATTCGGCATCGCGAGTAGATCCCTCCTTTCGCAGTGCAGATGCCGCGTCTGACCATACCCGGACTCGTACTACTGAAACAGAACCTATACGCGTCATAAATATGTACAAGTCGCGCAGTAATAAGCAAGATTAAAACGCAAACACGTATACTTATGTAGGTCGAGTCATCATCGATGCTGGTGACAAAAAAAAAAAAAATTTCCTCATTACGTTTTAATGGAAGCAGTAAGGCAAATGCCGGCGTATGATGTAAAATCGCACGTATAAACGGGTCAACGAAAGAGAGCGGAGCTCGCGATCTTTGTTAAATAGTATCGCTCACCGGGAGGGCCGAGCTCGTCGGGCGTGCGCCTGGTACCGTTGACCGGTCCACCGTTGAGCTGCCACCAGACCTCGGGCTCGGGATCCCCACTGGCCAGGCAAGCCAAACTAACGTTGCCGTTCATCTCCTCCTGTATACTCGTGACCGGCAGGTACACGGTCGGCTCGCAGGCGAACTCGGACGGCCTGACCTCCTCCCACTTTTTGCCCTGCACCCGAGCCGGGCCGATGCAGGTCTGCGGCACCGAGTACAGGTGGCTCGCCGAGCCCGTTGTCAGCAAACGCCAAAAGTCCCGCAGCTTGCAGTCGCAGCTCCAGGGATTGTTGTCCAGCCCCAGGGTCTTGAGCCGCTTCAGTCCCACTATCGACTCCGACTCGAGGTACTCGAGCTCGTTGTTGTCCAACCTATCGATAATATATATGTCTATAGTGCGCTCAATCGTTACCATTATCCCTCCCCCCCCCTCCCGAGCACGTGGCTTTCGTTGACAAGCCTCTGTGGCGCGCGCGCGAGCTAATTGTCTATTTACCACCGAAAAGACGCTCGTTAGCAGTTACGTAAGTCTATGTATACCTAATATACTTTCGGCAACAAGCGTGGGCGCGAGTCACTCATCGGCTTTTTCGTCCCACGCGAGCCAAAGGTGTGCACCACCGGAGCGAGCAAATTTTTTTAATTACACCTCCAGCAACTACGCTGGACCGCTATAGGAATACAATATAACCACGCGAATCCAAACGAAGAGGGGAGGGTTTTAATCATCTGCTTCTCGACTGCGCTCGCTTCTTTTTTTTTTTTTTTTTTTTTTTTCTTGCCGCATTGTGCTTTAGTTTTGAAATTCAAATGCGAGGAGGCCTTTTTTTTGCGCTGCGTGGGTGGTTGAGAAATCAGTGTATAATATGCACACGCTCAGTGACGTACGCTTGCGCTGTTCGTGCATATATTATTTGGTAAACAAAGCGCTTTTCGGCCTCGTGTTTGTCTTTGAAGGCGCCGTTCTCCCGGCAAGTCATTGGCAAGAAAAATACGAGACTGCGAGAGCAGAGCGTTTTTAACTGGTACGTGATTGCTACGTTTGCTCTTTTTTTTCCCATGGAGTTTCGAGGCTGGCGAGCCGTGAAATTAATTTCCAAGGAAACGCTCGAAAGTAGCTCGTGCATGTATACATTTATTTTCCGATGTTGATAATCCCTTCTCTCTTTTTTCAGGTCAATACGGGATATAAATGCATCGAAAGCTCACCCCTTTTCGATGAAACGTAGCAAAGGCCATCGCGCGAAAACCTTAATTTTTATTCGGTGCGCGTGAGGATTATTGTTTATTTTATTTAATAAAATATTCCGAGTATCACGATGATGTTTGTGGTATTAAAATATTTGCGTGTTGCGCGTCAAGGGGGGGGAGGAAAAAAGGGGAGTCGGAGTAATGCGATACAGCGTGTATACTTGCGGGACGCATGCGACTGATATGGTTTCATTGGTTCGTGATTAAATTGAATTGAAACTATTGAAACTTTGTCACAAGCGTATTAATTACATTAGTAGTATAGCCGGAGGAGGTGGAGGGAGGAAATGCAGAGGGATTTTTCACTGATTTTTTATTTGATTGACTAACGTGATGCACTGGTATTATCTATACTGTTTTTTTTTTTTTTTTTTTTTTTTTCAGTACCCATTGGTACGTATATTTGCCGATGGGAAATGTTGTACAAATATTAAAGTTATTTTTGAATACAGGTATCGAAGGTACAATTTATTTGTAAAATTTATATATTTAAAACAAAAAAGCATTAGAGAACTTAGATTGGTGAAAAGTCGTGGTACGAGGGTTTCCCTATATATTATATCAGGGTAGAATCCTTTGTACAGAAACGATAGGACTTTTTTTTTTTCTTACCAAGAAAGTAATAAAAAATTTACAGAGGCAGGGTAAGATTTTTTCGTCGGTACTACCACCCAACCCGTGTACGAGTTTTTCTTTGAAAGGTCTGTCTGCCCGTGTAGTAGGTACATATATATATATTTGTGCCAAAACAGAGCCATCTGTAACGTGGGGTGGATAGGGGTGGGGTGGGGGGTGAGTTTCGTTACGTTTCAATGATTAATACAAACAGCTGGACGCGGTGTGCGAACGCCAATGTATAGAATGGAAGAGAGGCGAGTTGTATGTAAGAATACACCTGCATAGAGTACAATATACGGGGACACAAAGGGAGATTAAGCTCCTTAGCCGTTTAATATTTGAGGACTCGAGGCGATTCGGTACACGACGCAATAGTAATGATAATAATAATAATAATCCGTATACATGATGCACAAAGGGAATGGATATATCCAATGGGGACGAAACAAAAAGAAAGAAAGAAAGAAAAAAAAAAAAGCGAGAGACGAGTAAAAGGCAAAGGAGCAACCAACCTGAGCGTCTCGAGCGCAGCGAGTCTCTGGAAAGCCTGCGCGTGTACCACGGTGAGCGAGCACCTCTGCAACTCGAGATTCCTGAGGTGCTGGAGCACCGGGAATTGACTGGGCTTGAGTATTTTGAGGGGATTGCCCGACAGTACGAGCCACCTGAGCCTCTCGTTTCCCGCGAATGTGTGGGCCTCGAGGCTCCCCAGATGATTGTCCGACAGATCGACCTCGACGAGGATGCGCATGTCCTTGAAGGCGTCGCCGTCTATCTCGTGGATGCCCGCGTTGCGCATGTAGACGCGCTGGAGATTCAGCAGGGCCGCGTGCTTGAATATCTCGGCCTGGAGGGCGGGTATCTGGTTGCCCGAGAGATCTAGGACCTGCATGTCCGGGTCGAGGCTCGCCGGGAGCGAGGTGAGGCCCGCGTCCGGGCACAGGGCCGACTTTTTCCCCGAGGTCCACTTGCACCGGCAAACAGCCGGACAGTCCGTCCAGTCGGGAAACGCGGCCGCCCTCGCCCCCGGCAGCTGCACCACCGCGCACCACCAACCCCCCACCACCAGGAGTACCGCGAACCTCACCACCACCACCACCAGCCTACCACTGGTACTCCTCGTCATCGTCCTCGTTTTCTCGCACATGACGTACGTTACGGCCGTGTCCTTGTACCGTGGTGCCTGTGGCGGTCTGGTCCGGCCACCCTCGGGACCGATCATCCAGCGGTCGACCGCTGCTGCCCGATGTCGCGGCCACCCCGATAACCCTCCTCACCGCGGACGAGTCCGTGTTGGCCGACAGCGCCAACTGCCAAGGAGCAGCGAGGGGCTCTCCTCGGCATTATGTCGTTCCCCGCGCACAGGTGATGATGCTTCGTTTCTTTGTGTGTTGTTGGCTACGACAACCCCCCTCCCCCGACAAATGTATTCAACGCACTGCACCCACTATACCGTCATACACACGCGTGCATCAACGATGTACAACACCGAGGGTGGTATTGGTATACGCGACCAATGTACATGTATATACAGTCGATGCTTGAAATACCTATACTACCAATGTATCGATCACTTTGGCATCGTGCGCCGTAGACCAGCACACACTTGGGCACACGGTTCCTTGTATGAACGCATCACGTTTGGCCAAGGGGGAGCAAGAGGGATACACGAGGGACCGACGCACCAACTTCATTGCCACGAGCACCATACATATGTATAACACTAGCAGCCCTTGCACGGTGACACTCGACGTGTGTACGTATATCGCGATACGCACCCACCACCATATCCGTGCTTCTTGTCTCCGATGCTGGGCTCCTTCTCCTCCCCCTGTCCGTCTGTTTTCAGTAAGCCACGGTACCAATGTCCCCGTCGCCGAGCCAAACTCTTGTCGGGTCGGTCTTTGTCGACGTCATCGCCACGGACAAACTTTGGCCCGTCCGACCAAACTCGCGCTCGCACTACTTACTCGGCCAGCCACCGAAGACTCCTCCTGCGTGCGCGCCCTCGTCTCCCCTACTTCCTCGACCCCCCCCCCTCCCCTGAGATCGCGCGTGCGAACAAGAGACCCCTCGGGCTCGGCGACTGCGTGCTACAGCTGCGTCTTACGTAGGTGTGTATATGTAGGGACTCGGAAACAATTGGCCTGTTGGCCGTACACCATGAGCTTCCCTTACTTATCTTCATGCACACGCACGGCTCCAGTGTCTCTATTACACTTGCGTGTATCTATATACGCACTCAAGGAAGTAGTTATAAATGAGTCACGGGTGACTCGGTGCTGCTTGAGTTCGTGCGGGGACTCCTGGTGCGCGGATTTGCCGCAACAACGAGGGCAGCCGCTGGCGATGGCGATACTGTTGAGGCAGAGAGAGAATATATAAGTACACAGGGGGGGGGGGGCCACAAGCGCTCGGCTCCCTTGTATGCCCCCAGCTCGTGGCGATGGTGGCGCGATCTTTGCAGCTGTAGCCCGTACCGTGATGCGATTGCGCTCCCTGCCACCCATTATCTCCGACTGGGCGGTTTTGGTGGTGGTACTTGACCGATCAGCGACCTCTTCCCTCCCCCTGTCTGGTCTCTCTCTGCGGATGCCGCGGCTCCTCGAGGATCGATGGTCCGGCTCTGCTGTACCAACCCATGCTAAGTACATCCAGGCTGATCGATCGGGATGTTTCCCCGTTGATACGCCAATGTCGCTGCTCCTGTATGGTATTTATTTGAACGGGTATCGTACACTATGCAGGCAAGGAAGGAAGGAAGGAAGGACATCGAGTAGCGGGAGGTACGAGAGACTCGAGAGTGTACAACGACGATGACGATGACGGCGAGTACTGTAGAACGGTGAGGGTACGAGCTGGTCTCGGGAACACGTCGACGACGTCTCGTCTTGTCTGCGGCGCGCAGCAACAGGCGGGTGAGCCGCGACTCCTCTGAGCTTGCTTGTGTAGTCGGAATCGAAGGTGCATACATACACCTATACATCATAGCGGTGTAGCAGTACAGTTGTAAAAGTACAGCCGAGAGACGACCAGGGGATGAATAGGGGGAGAGGGATGAAGGTTTTAGGAGGAAGCCCCTTGGCGGAGTGGCGACAGAGACAGCGGCGTGTGGGGTAGTCGACAGTCGGACAAATAGAAAAGGCAAAAGAACAAAAAAAAGGGGGGGTGGGGAGGGGAGTAGAAAGAAAAAAAAGAAAGAAAAAGTTAAGAAGAAATCGGATAGACAGCTCGTGACACGGTGATGCAATAACGTTCGTGCACGACCAGTTGATGCGGGTTAAAACTACATATATGTATACACGTGTAGGCATATTGTTTTTTTTGTTTGTTTGCTTGTTTTTTTTTTTTTTNGATAAAAATAATAAAAGAGAAAATAGGAGAGTAAGAAGCTAAAAGTATATTTTTAGTCGGAGATTAAAACGCGAAAAGAGGAAGAATAGGAGGATGGATTAACAAAACACACTAAGAAAATAAAGAAGTAGAAGTGAGAAAATCTAAGGATGAAGCAATATTACAAGAATATAGTATAAACTTTGTGTAGATTTTGTGTTTTCTCTCTTCTTCTTCTTCTGCTTCGCTCGTCGTTTTTTTCCCATACTTTTTCTTCCTTTTCCCTTATCTCTAATCATCTTTGCTCACGTCCCACGAGTTATATACTTTTTGGCTCTCGTTTGCGATAGTCGTCCTTCACTTTTTCCTTTTCTCCCCCCCCCCTCTCACCCCTCGCGTCACGTGTTCTGCAGCGTGCGAGCTCTCCCGAGTCCTTTTTCTCTTTTCTTCGGCTCGTCTTTCGTTTCTCTTTCCATCCCTTTCGTTATGTATGTGTATATATATAATATTTATAATTGTTGTATGTATATACGCTTCTTGCTCGCTCGTGAAATTTTTATCGTACATAATTAGTCGCGCGCGCTTAATGTAGTATATAACGGTAATAATCATAATAACGATAATCTCTGGCGTTGTGCATTCTCCCGTTATACACACACACACACATTTTCACTCACTCGCTCTCTCTGGCTTTAATTTTTTTCGTAAATAGCGCACGATAGTCATAGCGTTTTATTTTACTTTACGTTTTTCTTTTCTTCGTTACTTGTTTCGTGTAATTTTTCTTTCTCGTCATCCGTATATATATCATACGCTCGCTTGCACTCACGGGGGAATACCATTTCCACCCCCCCCCCCTCCCACTCTTTTCTTTCCCGTATCTCTCTTTTTCCCCCGACGAGCTCACTGCCTTTTGTCTTTTATAACTTTTTTTTCTTCTCTTTTCAATCGTTTTTTTTTTTTTTATTTTTTTTTGTTTGTTTTTTTTTTTAGCTATGCAACTATATTGTAAAGGTATATATATTTTTAAGTTTTTTTTTTTTCAACTCGTTAACATACTTGGCATTCCACATTTTCTATCAAGAATTACAACGACGAAGCATTTGTCTGTGTACTCTGTTCCCCACCGCGTTTTTTTCGTACAACCGATTTTCATATTATCCATTAACCTAATTACATCACTCGTAGCACGTATATATTGTTGCTTGCTTTTTTTTCTCTCCTCACATAAATTATCCAATTCCTCTTTCGATTTGCTCTCAAACAACATTAAATTCCCAATTCAGCGGTGTGTATATTGTGTACATGTGAGCACGCGTTTGCACGATCTGTTGCGCGTATATAATATCAATCATATAATATATATATGAAGTGTATGAAAAAGGTAACGCTATAACATACGATAATATTCATCATAGCGTCGATAACCACAAATTTATACGCGAGCCGCGATGATATACATTTATGCGCTATACGTACGTTCATGCTTAATATATTATATATGCGTATATATATTATGTATTATGCAGTGTAGGTTTATATACGTAATGGATGCAAACGGCAATGACGATAACGACGACGTCAAGTATCGGTAATAGTTTAACATTAGTAGTAATAGTAGTTAGTATATATAGGTAGTTGGTTGGTATAGATTAGTTTCAACAGCAGTGTATAGCTGACGGCGAGTGGGTGTACCACACACTATTCGCGATTGATATGTCGTTTGCTTTAAAACTCCAAAATTTCATGCACCACAGCGTACGCATCGTTACTAATGTCACTTTTCCTTTATTCCAGGTTTCACTGCTGCCGGACCAGCCTCCTCTTTCCTCCGGTGGTCGACCGCGTTACAGGTATGGTTTACAAATATGCATGTGTATTGTTGTGTAGTGCGCAAGTGGAGGGTAAACGCATCGGCGAGTCGAAGCATCCTCGAGGTTCCCTCCTGTCTTTCACTCTGTCTTCTCCGTGATGATGACTCCCTTACTTCCAGCTATTGGCTGCCCGCGAAATAAAAACAAAGGCAAAAACAAACAAGGACACACCAGTTATAAGTTTTGATTTTCATCGGCAATTCGCTCGGTCTATCGTGCCGGGCTGGACTCACCTTTGTAGTAGATGTCGCGGTTCATCGTCGGACAGTTTTTCGGGCCCTTCTGCAAAACAATGGGTTTTAGCATCGACAAAACAACTCGTTTATCCGTACAACACGCTTGGAGAGATGGCTTGGAAAAAAAAAAAAAAAAAAAATCGCGGTCACAGTTGCGCCACTCTCTGTTTCATCATTTTATTTCCCCCCCCCCCCCGCAGAGCCGTTTAGTTACGAGATACGGGAAAACAAAAAAGTGGCGGAAGGGGGGAGGCCGATAAATAAATCGGCGAGCAATTAGATTTGCGCGATTGATTCCCGAAGCTGTCGATAGTAATGATGCACGGAATATTTCCGGGGGGCCGACCCTCGAGCGCGAGCACACCCGAGAGGGTTTAATTCAGGTTCGAAATCGATGGCCTCGAATTTCCACGAGTGGCCAGCTCGGAAATCCTCGTAAATCATGAGCATCCACTATACCCACTTGAAATGGATGAAAATGTTGGCACTCCATTTGAAGATGCCAGCTGGAGAGAGTTGGCTGGGACTGGTATCTACCCACACAAACACGAGAGTAGGTATATGTATATACATACACGTATGTACGAGACGTCGAGGAAGAAGAAGGAAGTGTGAGCGCAAGGAGCTTATGCCCGACGAGTGGCTCTCGAGCTAATACCTCGCATAATAGAAAAACATCTATTTGAGAACCAAGTATAGAGGCCATCCCCTTGACTATCGCTCGAAACACATTGTTGTGTGTGTATGTATGTATGTATCCTCCGTTGGAAATTTCCATTACATTTGAACTGGATTTTCGCGCTCTTGATTTTCAACTCTGACTCTCTCGAAACGAGTGGCGAAATACAACCGTGTGCAACTTGTTTGCCCGCCAAAGTAAGTACACGTATTTTCCGGGTCGTTTTTTTTTTTTTTTTTTCATCATCATCAATAAGTGGCGTATCGTACACGAGAGTATAGGCGCAGAGGTCAACAAGCGTCGATTCTCCAAGCGAGTTGTGACTTCCAATAGCCAGTTGGGGGGGGTGGGGTATATACGTATACTATTATATTACGTTTGCGTCGGTGCTGAAGTCAATGTTCGTCCTGACCGGGCGATGGTGCAGCGGCTGGGGCAAACGGAAGTTATTTCCCAGCGGCGCCTTGGGGTGCCGCTTGTCGCCCTGTTTGAGCTCCCTGAGTCCCTTGAGCTGAAAGCAAAAGCAAACCCCTACGTCAGCTCTTGCGGGCCGAAACCACAAAACGATTTCCCTCCACCCACGTACACGTATAGGACGCATCGACCTTCACTTCCTCAATTTTCGCGGGGATCGAAGCAAGGAGTATATGATATGTATAGATATATAAAGGACGTGGAGCGCCAGCCGAGGAAGTTACATATTATATACCTATGTATGATGACCGGGTGGGGGTAAGGAGGGTATATAATAAATAGGTACACCCCCTCCACTTGTACACGTATATATATATATAATATCATAGGATATACGTGTAATAGTTGGTGGCGTGCGCGCTATGTATCGCGGCACTCGAGGAATTTGACCAAGGAATCTCGAGAGGTGGCGGCATAGAGGAGTAGGAGGGAGTGGGCCTCAAGTGTTGCTCTCTCACCTGCTGCTTCGTTATGTAGATTGGCTTGTTGAAGATGATCCACGTGGTGGTTTCGTGACAGGCCGGCATCGTCGTCGAGCCGTCGTAGGTCATGTAGTGCGTCGTTTCCGGCAGGAGCTCCTTAACACCGAAACGCTTGATCGGCATCGATTGACCTGCAATTTAGAAAAACAAGAACAAAAAAAAAAAAAATTCAAACGAGCCGTGTACAACCTGATTGTAATCATGATGGATGGGAAAGGGGAGATGTTTATAAATATGTATATAAATGTTGTTTCGTTTTACCTCCATATGTTATTTTGTCCAGGTGCTCGGTAAACACTCTCAACTCGGGATTCGATAAATCGCCCACCTGCAACACCCAAACACGTGTACGTTTATTATATGTAGCCATAGGTATACGTTATAATGCGGATAGACTGCCGTAAAGTACGAGTTATACCTATACTAGCCCGTGGTGTATAATAGATACAGGTTGTTATGAGTAATGAGGGACGAGAAGCTCTTGCGGCACGTGGTCGAGTTATATATAGGTGCATGTATATAGCTACAGACATAGGAAGGGGTGTGTGTGGGTACACTAACCAGAGGGGGTGAGAAATAGCGGGAAGGAGGATGGATAGGAGTAGGTGGTAAGGTAAGAGCGATCGTGTCGATGGCTCGGGGCGATAAAGCGTTTATAAGGGCTCGAGGGGAGGGGGAGGTGAAAGCCGGCTAGTGGCTAGGAGGCACGCCGCGTCGCCACACACGTACAGCATTAGGTATGATGGTGTGAATATGTATATATACGCACATACATATAGCCGTACACAGCCAAGAGCGAGGGAGAGTTAGATCGGGGGAGATTGGCCACGTACCTGCAGCAGGAGGGAGACGGCAACGATACCCTGGGCACGGTGAAGGGCGTCCGAAAAGTTGTTGTATAGGTGCGAGTTGAAGCCGAATATCTGGATCTGCAAATCAGACGTATACATGTACATACCTTTTTATATATATATATTTGTGTGTCACTACCCCCTCGCACCACACAGTAGCTCAACTCGGCCCCTTTTCTTTTTCCCAACCTCCTGTATTACCTATTTAGCCTTACTTTTATTATTATCATCATCATCATCCGCGTTATGAGCGTTGGGTATTATCGGCTTTATTGATATTACTATATACTTTATGCCTTTGAGCACTCGCGTGGTTTCTTTTTTTTCATTTCGTCTGGCTCAACTATCAATTAGCGGCTTATTGATCGCCCGTTGCGGTTATTGAGCTTCTTTTCATCTCAATAACAGGGAATTCGAGATAAATTAACTGATTCGGAGAGGCTTTTTTTTCCTCCTCCTCCTCCTCCTCTTTTTCTTCTTCTCTCGTCCCACCTTTTTTTCCCTCTCTGCTCGTGGGCCACCGATTCTGTACCGTCGGCGTTATTAATGGGACCAATTTTTCAGGACACGTGTGCTTTTGACTTATACCTACGTGCGCTGCTTTTTTTTTTTTTTTTTTTTCTTTCTCCTTCCTCTTTTCCCCTGCCTCCTCCTCTGTCTCTCGGTCCGTATCTCGCGATAATTTAAATTGCAGGTAGTGCTCGCGTCTCCGCCGTTGCGAAGATAATATCGTTGTGCGTGTGCAGCGTATTGAACGAGCTGTACTTGCGCGAGGGATACTTTTCCTCTCGAAAAATTCGCGAATATAATGGTACTTACCCACTTCAGTTTTTTTTATCGAGTTATTAACGACACCGGCGTGTGTATCATTGTGTAAGACATCCGATCTCCGATAAAGTAACGAAATCTTTTTTTTTCTATGTATGCATGAAGGAGATGCGGGGTTAAACGGGTGTATTATATACGTCACGAGCCGGAGGAAAAAAAAAAAAAAGCTCCGTGCGCGTAACGGATCTTTGACTAAACTTATCGGGTCGCGCTAAGCTCCTTCCCTGTCATACTCTCGGTAACGCGGGCTTAAGAATTATATGGCGTCTTAATAACTTCCGTGAAATATGGCTAATCCTTCGAGCTCCTCGACCGAGGGAACTTGATGATTTTCTCGTTTTAATTAAATCCTAGTGTATAATATATAATATACACACACACACGTACACGCAGCGTTGGTATATTAAACATTCAAATTAATTTTTTCACGAGCGCCGGTATAAATTTTTCCTTCTTCGTTCGGCAATTAGCATATATTACTCGTAAAAATTATCGTCCAAGTTTTTTTAGGATCCCAGGGATGATGATGAAACTTGGCGAATTTAAAATGATCCCAAAGTGAATCGCGAATTTAAGAGGATTTGGAGGGAAAAGCCGATGTAACGTGCAATACTCGTATTTCTTTTTTCCCCACAAAGGAAAGTTTTCGAAAATGCCACTCGATCGCGGGAGTTACGAAGAAAAAAATCGGAAAGCAATACCCATCTGGGTATGAATTTTCAAAAATCCCGTATTTTTTTTTTTTTTCTTTTTTCTTTTGTATGAAAAAAAAAAAAGAAAAAAAAATGAAAAGAAATGATCTGCATCGAAGCAGGCCACACCGAGAGCATCAGATATTGGGGGAAAAAAAACGAGTAGTCTGACTGCATCGCGGGATCGAAGAAAAATGTGGCCGTTTTAAAGGGTACATCTGTCGAGAGCCGCCAGCCGTATCCTCCACCCTTTCCTTTACCGCTACATTTGCATGCGAAATAATACGTCACCCCTCCCCCCCCCTTTCCCCCTACATATGTATAAATCACGAAAGGTATCACGTGTTCGCGTTTCATCTTACTTGCACGGAACGTTTGCAGTTTCGTCCTCCTCCGATCGTATATTATATATAGTTAGACGGGGAGAAGGGAAAAAAATCGATAATCAATAAGCGCCTGCACCTCTCTTTTATATTTATAATTCCGAGGCGGGAGAGGCCGATTAAATATAAATTGAGCATCGGCAAAAGGGAGAGAGGAAAAAAAAAGAAAAGAGAGAGACACGTACCTCGGCGGGAAAGCTGTAGCCGTCGACGGTGTGCTCGCTGCCGTGCTTGTCGTCCAGCCCGTAGTGCAGGTGTATCTCGTGGAACTGGTAACGATAGCTGAGCGGCCCGCCGGATATGTTGACCGGCTGTCTGGTGTCGTTGTCCACCGTGAAGACGACGCTGTGGCCCGTGTTGGTCAGGACACCGCCGATCTTGTGCTTGTCCACGTGGAGGGTCTGCAGGTTCGGGTCGAAGAGCAATCGTTGGGGCTCGAGGTTCACCGGGGACTGCCGGCGGCCCTTATTGCACAGCGACCACTCGGGGTTTATCAGGCCCCAAAACGCCGGCCCCGAGATACCGTCGTACGTCCACCACTCCTCCCACACGACGGGCTTCGACTCTAAGGGTTTTTACATTGTGTCATTCGAACTCTTTTTATTATTATTATTATTTCCATCTACATGTGAGTGCGAGTGTGGGGTACAAGGGAGTGTCATTGATTATTCCTACTTTGCTGGTTGACCCTCTGCTTTCTCATCGTCACAATCATCCGTTCGATTGGACAAAGTGCGGGGGCCCAATCGTTTAATCGTTCCGTCGATGATTGGTAAGAAAATTTGAGGACGCGTACAGTGGGTAATTGAAGTCTGCGGTGGCTCGGGAAGGGTAGTTTGGGTGCAACGGAGCGAAGCCCCCAAAAGTACCTGATGGTATAGATTTTGATCGTAATGAGATTCAAATAAGCCCGCCGCGAGCGATCGATTGATTTAATCAATTTCCCGCGGTGCGTTTACCCCTCCCCTGCTTGTGACCCCCGGGGCTTCGGAAAGTCGGAATAATTTGTAGACAAAGTAAATGCGTGTCATTTTACCGTCCCCCCCCGCCCCAACCGCTTTGGCGCCTCCTTCAAACAACCGCACTTGCCCGAGAGCCACGCCAAGTAATTCACTTAGCCGCTCGTGTATACATTAACATTCAAGAAAAATACGCCGTTTCATCTGATTTTTTGAATAAATTTTTATACCCCCCCCCCGCCCGCCGCTTCGTCGTACATCGACTTTGAGGGGGAGAGAGTGCCCGATATTCCATTATTGAAATTAGTTAGTCGCGAGACCGCATGAATATTTATGTTTCGCTTGCGCGTATTATTTGAAAAAGAGTACGAATAATGTTTTCGAATTTATACCATACGCTCCTCTCTCTCTCTCGCCGCGTCTCCGCGCGGGCACATATTATACCGCCGCTGCTCTGCAGGCGCGTATATATTATATACGTATAGCAGTCGAGCCAATTTCAAATACACACACACGCACGGGCTCACGCGAGCAATCTTCGTGTGTTTATCATTTGCAAACTTGCAATACCGTTGCGAGGGGGGTGGGGAGGCCCCATTTGGTTTTTACAAAGTACCTACGTGCATATTGTATGTAGATGCGCACGTTGAATTTTATGTTCCTTTCCCGGGGCTTTGGAGGCGGTGCTAGGAATTTTCCTGCAAAGCGATAAAAAATAGCCGCGCTTCAAAGGTGTACCTAAGTAGTTTGAAAAGAAAAGAAAAAAAGCCGCCAACTTTTTCCTTTTTTTCTTTTTTTTTTTTTTTCTTTTTTCTTTTTTGTTCCGTATAGTCATTAAGGAGGAGACGACGGTGTCGTAGAGAGGATGGACGGGGGGTGGAGGGGACAAATTCCGTTTAGGGACACATTATACATGTATATAGGTGGAGGCTCGGGCGCGCGCGCGCGTGCACATGAAAAGGAGGGTCTTGCGCATTTTCATAAATTTCACGCCTCTGAAGCATTCGTAATAAGCCGGCTAAAGCGTAAAATTAGTGAAATCGCGTATAAAAATGCTGAATTTCCGGGAGGGGGAGGGGGGAGACACGCGACGACGCCTCTTGGACGTTTTATCTTTATTATTTTTTTTTTTTCTACTCTATATTTTCATTTTCCCTCCCTCGAGCGCCCTGATTTCACATATTCAACGTCCGCGGGAGTGATTTAGCTCGAATTTCTTTAAAACGTAATTCGTTTACCCCTCGGATTACACGACGCGCGCCTGACTGAACGGAGGAAATTCAATCCCGGCGCGTTGCTGCGCCAATTAGATGATCCGCGACGGCATTCCCGAAAATATAATGGCACCCTTCCTGCCGTGTATATTAAACATCTACGGGTGCGCGATCGATCTCGAGTTATTTATATACTTGCGAATATACGGGCTTTCCGCGTAGAATCTAGGTTGGATATCCCATTGAATTTGATTCCCATCGGCCGCACACATCACCGGTTCGTGTGTGTGAACGCCGGATTTCTCGCGATTTCGTCCAATTAGCCATTTATGAGATGCGTTCAACTTTCCGAATTAATTGTTCCGCCTGAATTATCAACTTGATCGCGCGGATTCGGGAACAAAGAGCGCGGTCTGAATTACATTTGAAACAAAAAAAAAAAAAAAAAAAACGGGGGATCGCCGACACCTTTGGATTTTATTACTCGGGCCCGAGATTTATAGTTACCGCCGAAAGGCAATAAACCACAAAAATTCAATTCGCGCTTTTTTTTTTCCTCTTCCTCCAGTATAGCCATACATTTCGGATAAATGTTGTATGTATGTGCACGCTTGTACGTACAGAAAAATAAATATTTCCTCCTTTGGCCCCCCCCCCGTCTCCTGCCCTGGAATGAATGGCCCGGGCCAACTTTCAAAATAAATCTTGATCCTTGAAGCTTTCTCGCGTGCGAGTTTTATTTCCCACCCTCGACGGGGCCCTTTCTTACTCGGCGCTTTCCCTTGCGAAAAAAGAAAAAATTGTTTGTTGGTTTTTTTTGTCCCCCCTTTTTACGCACACCCCTCAACAGAGCATTGAATAAAGGGGGGGGGGGAAATATTTTGAATAAAAATTTTCGAAATAAAACTAGAATGAAAAACTCGTGCGCGGAAAAGGGAAGACCGAAATACCGATATGACGAAAAACCCGGGTCGGAAGCGGCAGCGGCAATGGTGGCATTTATAGACAGTGATCGAATTTATCAGCGCGTAGTTGAATTCCCCTCTCGGCGGGAGCTCTCGGTGGCGCTAATTTCGTTGCTCGTGATTTAGGGTAACCCCCAAATCGATATAAATAACCAGCGCGAAATCTCCCGCGCACCCGTATACATTGGGGTATACGTGGAGAAAAAAAAAAGAGAGTATACCCACGTGCGGGGAATCCCCGGGATAAAGTTGAAAATTGACCGTACGAGGTTACTCTCAATTTGTTGTTCTCCTCCTCCGCCATGCCCGAAGCCTTTCTTATATACATATATATACCTACTTTGGAAGTACTTTTCGCGCCAACTGTACGCGTACACGGAGCCACACGCCGAGTGAATTTCAACTTCTCGGCGCGGCGAATAGAATAAGCTACTCAAATAACCAAAGTGTACGATCGGACGCTGATGTCTACTACTTAGGGCTATATGCGCGCGTGTGACTTTTCTCTCTCGATAAAACCGACGAAATGGGGTATATTATATAGAGTACCGTGGGGTTTTATTTCGCAGCTGATGGGCCTCGGAGTCTTATACGTCTTCGGAACTGCAGTAACTCTTTTTACGATTGGCGTTAGAACGCGAGCCGTATATACATATATACTACCGCGTTAAAGAGGAGCGACAGAGAGAGAGAGCAGTGAGTAAAAGGAAGGGCGGGATCAGAGGAAGGGGGTGGGTGGGAAAAAAAGCATATCGGTTTACTTTAAGTGAAACAAAGTGATAAAAGGGTAGAATCAAGAGGAGGCGGCGCCGGGCGGCCGAGTCTCTGTGTACCATACTGCAAAGAGAAAGACCGTACGCCTGTGTCTATTTATTTTCCCGCTTTTTTTTTTTTTTTTTTTTTTTTTCTTTCTTTCTGCTTCTTTGGCGCCCGCCTTCCGCCATCTTCTTCTTCATCTTATCTGCCGTCTAATTCTCTCTTTTTTTTTGTTTGTTTTTTTTTTTTTTCTTATATCTCTCCTCTTGAAGGGAGAAAAAGAAGAATCAAAGGCAGCACCACGGCAGTCGGTCGGTATATATACCTAGGCGGAGCGCATCAGAGGCAGCTGGCGCCTCGAATTCGCAACAGTAATGGGGAGAGATAGAGCCGGGGGCTACTGCGGAAGGCAGGCAGCATACAGCCCACGGATCCGCTACAAATCAAGCGAAAATCTAATTCAATTAAGCGAATGGCGTTACGCTGTCTCCTCGGCCCACCCACCCCCTCACCCTCCCAGCAGAGAGAGAGAGAGCGAGTATATAGAGAGCAGCCCGAGAGTGTGTGTCCGATCATCATCCCCCGATGGCTCGGCAGCCTCCCTTCCTCCCTCTCTGGCTCCCTCGAAAGCTTGATCGTCGAGGCTATGCAATCCCCATTTCCGGGGCTTAAGCTTCCTGTCCAGTAGTTCGCGTGTGTGGGTGTGGGTGTTAGCACCAGCCAACAGTAGTGGAGAGAAAGTGGCGTGCAAAGGGGGTATAGGTGTCGGCACGAGCCACTACTGCTGCTGTTGTAAGTCTGTTGTTGTATATATATATACATGTGTGTGTGGGTTATATGGACATTGTAGGCTATATACGTACCTTGGATAAGCGCGAGAACAAACACCCCCCAAATGCCCAGGAAGACGGGCCGGTGGGCTGCCATCCCTCCTCGGCGGCGGTGGCACGCGTTTCTACGCTGTTCCCTCTCCTCTTGTAGCACTCTCGTTGTTTCACCACCACCACCACCACCACCGCCTCCTCCTCCTCCTCCTCCTCCACCTCCTGGATGTGGTGGCCTTTGGTTCAGAGCATCGTCTCTCGATACGGCTCCCGAATCTGCAATGCAAAGCTTATGAGAGCACACGCGTGGCTACACGAACATGAGTGCACCATCATACCCCCCCCCCCCGCATCACCTTCTATGTATACTCTTTCCCTCACACCCTTAGATATACATATACATGTATATACATATATACACCCACCACCTGTACATACATAACATACATATGGATACATGTCAGGGGAGAAAGGTGATGCGAACGCGACTTTATGTACGTATACCATGTATATGTGTGCATGTTTTTCGCAAGTGGGTATGCATGTATATATATATATATATATATACACACGTATAGGTGTACACATGTACAATATCCACGAAGATATACGTATAGGTATGTGTATACGTATGGATGCATGTATAACTTGTTAAGGTCGTGAGTTATAACTTGTTTTGCCGCTCTCCTGAGCAAATTACAACTTGTGCCGTGCGCTCCGCCCGCTCGTTCACTCGCTCGCTTGAATACACACACATACACACACGCACACGCAGGGGTACAAGATACGTGTAGGTAGGTGCGCGAGCTCGCGTATTTGTACGTTTCGACTTTGCTTAGCTCGCTCGTGTACACGTATGTGTATGTGTGTGGGTATAATACACCATTGCACCGAAGTACGAGACGACTGTACTCGGGGATCATTATCACCAGCCGAGCCCGAGGGCTAGCGGGAAGTCGAGCGCCGTCGTCGCAAGGAGGAGGAGGAGGAGCAGCAGAAGAAGAAGTAGAGGAAGTAGGCCAGTTTCCTCCGGTACTCGTACTACTGGTGATGCTGGCTTATACTTGCTCGCTCTTTCTCCATTACTCTCTCGCTCCCTCTCGTCCAACACGATGATCATCTTCGAAGTATTGGGCAAGAAGTTGCTGCGGAGCAAGAGAAAGGAAGCCGGAGTTCAGGATATGGTCGGTGTACCCTATATATATATGTACCCGCTGCAGCATCAGCAGTAAAACTTGAGCCCCAGGAGCAGGGGTACGGTGTGGGGTGATGGTGGGTACCAATGCTCTGCTACTGCTGCCGGTGGTGGTAAATGCTCGGCTATTGATTCGTAAATTACTTCCACTTTTGATTTCCAGCTCCTCTCAAGTGCCAGTTTGGCCGATTGCGCTTGTTAGTTAGCGAGTGCGAGAGCCCTACGTACATATATATGTATATGCATACATGGGATAAGTCGAAAAGCAGCTGTCACGCGCGAACTCGAGAGCCCCGCGCACTCGGTGTATCCGATTTATCGGGTGGGCGGAGTAGAGTACAGTGAGAGGGAGGGAGAGAAAAAGCCTCTGTTCGTTTTTACGCGTGTATAAGTATATATACATATATGGTGTCGCGGCACGCGATTTTATCGAGTATGGGATGAATGCAGGGAATTTTCTCGCGCATCGGGAGGGAGGCGGGTACGGGTATGCGGGGTAATGGCCCGTGTAGATATCGAGGATCATTGAAAAATTGTCGCTTTATATCGCAAGTATATACATATACAGGTAAAAAGAAGCGTAGCGAAGTCGGAATGTATATGTATATATATATATATATAGGGTGTAAATAATATAATGGCGGTACAATGCGAGAATAGAACGAAACGCCGAGGGGGGTTCCTTACGTCGAAAATGCTTTTAGCGCGACGACGTTAACTTTTCACAATGCAAAATAGATGCGGCGCGTCAAATCGAAAATTCTCGCCTCTCGCCTTTCGGCATCTGTGATCCAGACCCCCTACCATCGAGAGAACTCGACGAAACTTTTTTTTTGCCCCCCTCCCCCGGCCACCCCTGTTTGGCAATGCCAGTATATATATACATATACAGGCTTTGGGTCAAAGTTCCTACTCTCTGCTGCAGTGCAGGTAACATTGGCTGGTCGGTCGTCGTCGACAAATCAAACTCCATCTTCGTTATTTACCCGTCCGAATTTGGATAGAGGGCCCGTTTTGATCGTGGCGGGGGGGGGGGAGGGGCTTCGTTAATTATTCGCAATCACAAGGAAATCTCGCGCTGAAACTCCTGCCTGCATAGCTACTTGGGTACGGAATCTTAAATTCTTAATTCGCCGAGCAAACAACTCACGGCCGAAACTAGCCCCCCCTAGCCCCCTCTTTTCACGAAACTGCAGAGCAAAGCTGTGGAGCTGCGAGAGGAGGGACTCCTCGGCCGTGAGTTAATACCGAAACGATAACTGGCTCCGCGTGGAATTACCCTGCAAACACGGAACAGACGAGCGTGTAGAGGGGTGGGGGGGGGGGTAAGACGAGAGAGTATACATACATAGGGCGGGGGTTGGGATGGGGGAGGAGGTGCAGTATTGGCCCATTACTGAAGTTTCGCAGAGGCGCACTGTGTAGCCTCCTCCTCCTCCTCCACTTCCTGCTACTGCTGCTATATATAGCCGTGTATAAAGAGTAGCTAGGAGTGGAGGAGTAAGCAATCCCCTGCCCCTCGTCCCTCCTCGCCATGTGCCTATACGTATATATACATGTTGTATGTACGCACGTAGTAAGGAGTATTTTCAGTATTTACTCGGGGAGGCGCGGCACCGGCACCAACTAACTCGCACCAGTGGTGGTTGTGTGTGTGTGTGTGTGTGTGTGTAGATCCACACCGTACCCCTATAACTAACGTGTACACACACACACACCCTCCACCGTACAAAGTGTGTACACACGCTTTTACGAGAAGACGACGCCGACGAGGACGTAGCTCGGATTCACACGTCCCTGCACTTTCGACTTTTTATAATTTTTTTTTATAATTTTTTTTTTTTTTTTTTTTTTCCCTGGAAGTAACGCACGTAGAGGTGGTATCTACCTACACACGGGGGCATACCAAGTCGCGCGCGGGCCAAAGAGACTCGCTGGTACACGCTCTATCTGCATACATGAATATGCATGATTCGCGATGGGAGGGGGGGGGGGCTACTATACTCGTATAGTGGTGTAGTTGGTGGTGATGATGGCGGCAGGTGAAAAAGGAGAGAGAAAAAAAAAGTAAATTCCACCGCCCCCTTGTCAGCTCTCGTATACGGTTGTACGTATGGGTGGTCCGGCTTTGGAGGGAGCGGACACCTCCTTTAGTTTTGATTGACACTTTGGAGCCGAGGGAGAGAGAGAGAGAGAGAGAGAGAGAGTGAAAGAGAAATAATAAGTGGGTCGCGGTCTGCATAAAATTTCAAAGTCCGCCCAATAACCTTTCCCCCGTCAGCTTTCAATTAGCTTCGTTCTCTCGCGGCTCCGACTTGCTTTGACTCTGTAATGGGCCTCGGCGCGTGTGCACCTATACGTGCGCACCTATATACCTATAGGCCGGGGGGGGGGGAGGATGAAATCACTCCTCATTACTCTGCTCTCCTCGTCACTCGCTTCGAACGGTGGAAAACGACGCGGACTTGGGGAAAGAAGGGGGAAAAAAAAGGGGGGAGTGACAAAAGATTGCCGTCGTAGCTACTGGACGACTATATCCGCTCTCTCTCTCTCTCTCTCGTGTGTACGTACGGAGAAAATAATAATCGCGTCGTATATTTATTTGCTCTGTCACAGAACGAGGGAGGCGGGTGTATATATAGTTCCCATTTTTTTCCTCCGCAAAAAAGGGAAGGGGCGGGCGAGTTGGTCTGGCCGTGTATGTACGCAGGAGCGTGTGTGCGCGATAAATCATAATGAAAGCGAGCGAATGTGTGCACACGCGGAAGAAGGTTGATTGATCGTCCCGCGTTGAGAGCAGAGTTAGCGAAAGAAAAGGGGGAAGGGGTGGTGGTGGCGCCGGCGGCGCGGTTTAGGGTCAGAGGATGTAGGAGGTACGGAGACAGGGTGAACGCAGGGGTCGTACATTGTGCGTTTGTACACCCAATAACCAAGTAAAACGATGTTACCTCGATTTTACCGAACCCATGCGGATGATGGACGATTTCTTATTATATCTCCGATCTCGTTTGCTCTCTCTCTCTCTCTCTCATGACTCACTTTGCAGGGATATGTACCCACCGTATGATGCAGTTGCATAGGGGAAGGGGGGGGGTAGGTACGTATACCAAGTCCGGAGGAAGGGTTCTGGCATTGTTATGCATTGGGCGTCGTCGCGTTAATTGCCCGAGATAAGGACGATTCCCGACGACAATTGGCCACTACCGGCCAATTTCAATAAATACACGCCTTCCCCGCCCATCCCCCGATCGCCTGCTCGAGTACAACGTATATATACGTATACACATAGCCAAGGGTCTTCTTGCAGCGCAAGCACTATCAGCTCCTCCCTGTATATATATATATATATGTATGTATGTATATATAGATTCAACCTAAACCCCACCATTATACGGCATTTCTCTGCTCTTATTACAACGACGGAGACGACGGGGACAACGATGCCATTCCGTGTATACGTGCGAGCCGTCGTCTCTAGTTCCACTTTCTCCTCCTCGTCTACGTCTGCGTTGTTATTTGATTTTCCGCGCATTTTTCCTCGCATAGCATTCTCGGATTTCCGGACGACGTAGCTGCGTGCCTCCTCCATACCTACCTTACACGCCCTGCTCATTTTGGCCCCGTCGTCGTCCGTTATTTTTCTCGTTTCGCCTCGCTAGTAGCAAAGCAGTCCCTTCCCCCCGTGCTCTCTGCTGCTGGCAAATCGATTGCTTCCTTCCTCCGTTGCCGGTGAAATTTTGCCTATTCTTCGGCCGTGCCCGCTCGCTCACTTCCCCCCCCCGCTGGTATGCGAAATTTTCACAAATTGCCGGACTGCCCGGGAGGGAAAAGTGGGGCGGGGGCAGCCGTTAAAATTTACACGCGAGCCCCCTACCACCCCGATATTTGCCTTCCAGCCGAACGGCAATCCCCTGCCGCCGACTCTATATAAATGTACACAAATGCGAAACAATGGGGGTCACCCCCC